ATTAAGTTTGGTTTGTTTACAAAATGCATCACAATCGGCAGCTCTGTGTGCCACATACAAGGTTTTCACGCGTTCCCTTTTTTGTCCCACCACTACACCCCAAAAGCAGAGCCTGTTGCAAACACCAGCAAGGCCTGGAAGATGATTTTATTCCACGTATTTCTTTTTCCCGAGGAAACTTGACCACTAAATTGCATCACTCCCGAAATACAGGAGTAAAAAGGTCAAGAAATGTCTTCCAAATTGCATTTACAAGATGAATATCACTACTTGAGCTTCTGTGTTAGCAGATTTCGAGTCGAATTAGCTGATAACAAAATTTTGTCAAAAAAGCACCAGTCTTTATATTAATTTTCGCTACTTTTGTTTTTCTTGGTATCATACGAGTGTGATGCCACTTAATTCTTCCTTCCTTTTCCATTGCCTTAGAGGTACCATCTGTTGCTTAAAATTTTGACCAATTTCTGTGCAAGACGCTCCAATCGCAAACTTGCACGTATTTTATACATAAATTGGATTTATTCGTGTTAATCCACCGAGTTTTGTCATAAGGCAAATTATGATGCCACAAGGCACGCAATGGGCTTATTTTGTTCCATATTCTTGATTGTTTGCCCCAAATTTCTTAAAGTGGTCCCTCATGGTTGCTTTAATCAGATGTTTTCCATAGTTGTCATGGTTTCCCTGACTGACAAATGACTGTACTGTCCGTATGCACCATACCTTCAACACAGGGATACTCTAAGCTGCAAAGCGAGTATAAGATGAGTTCAATATCAGTATGTAACGAATAGTTAGACCATCACATTTCAAATGTAAAGCCAACATCTCAAATTTTGTCCTTAAATCTGAATAAGCAAGTCTAAATACATGCTTTTACTGCAGCTGACGAGGCAAGCAGCAATATTGGCATGGTTACGTAAAAGGAATGTTACTTTTTGAGAAGAGAGTTTGTTTTGTGGAGCATACCCATTATTGGCCCTGACATAGGTTAGCCATGGCTATCAAAATAAGTTGCTGAAAGTGATTTTAAGTGTTTTGCTTTGTGTGTTGACCATTTTGTCTGATGTCAAAATTTTAAAATAATCTAATTTCGATTAATAACCTGATTTCAAAATTAACTTTACCACGTTTTTGTCACAAGAGCTGCTGTCAACAGATAGGTGAGTTGGGATGATGTTCAACACCACCTACTCTAAGTTAGGTAAGTTGGTTAAGTGCGTGGCAAGTGGCAATAGGAATCGTGCAAGAATCAGATGCAACTTCTGCTGTGATACAAACAGGTTAGACAGGATGAGATGAAGTAAGGCCTCCTTAGGTTAGGTATAGCTGCGCTACTTTCATGGGAATAAACATTGGGGTTTTGCAGGAAACGATGACAAAATGTTTGTTTTCCCTGACCCCATCTTAATAGAAGCCAGAGGTATGTCTATTGTGTTTGACTTGGTGATGGGCTGATGTGTAGGAGTCCAGGGTTGTTTTCGTTTGAGTATTTATGCCTGTTGAATTTTCTGCTGTTATTTTGGCATTGAATTCCTTTGTTTTGTTTTGTGTTAAAAGTGCTGTGGAATGGAAATGTAAAGTGTAGCATCAAATTATTGGTGTCAATAATTTTGAATGCTCATTACACTGTCATGAAATTGCTATGCTTTTATGTATTCTATTTCACTTTAATGACCTAAGCTGTTAAAATACAAAACAGTTTTGGCCGGTTTATGATATTACGTCCATCCCAATTTGCAATAGATGTCTTTGTTTGCTAAAGCACCAGTCACGAGCTCATAAGTTCCATCTTTCGTCAATTCATTTTTTCACTCTCGCACGGCCTTTTTACGATGAAATTTTTCACTCTCACCCAAGTTCAAAACCGATTTACGCTCACTGAATATGTCCCCCCGCGGCCGTTGGGTGGCGTCGCCGTCAGCCTGCGCGCCATGAGCGGCGTCCACCTCCGTCTGGTGTACGTCGAATCGAAGGACGCGGAGGACCGACGCCAGGGCCGGTCGGCTTTACACCGCCTGTTCATTACGCACCGCACTGGTACGGTCAACGGCGGCCTGGTCGGCTCCATCATCCTGCGCCTGCTGAGCGTGCTGGGCTTTAGCTACTCCCTGCGCGGGCTGTCCCGGACCGGCAGCCAGTCCGCCTGGGACCGGCTGGTTGACCAACTGCACGCCGGCCAGGCGGACATGATGGCCGGCACGCTGATCTACAGCCCGGCGTGGGGCCGGCTGGTCGACTTCTCCCATCCGTTCGCGACGGACCTCTCCGGCGTCGTGATTGGCGTGCGTCACACGCAGGCGCTGAGCGAGTTCCGCACCAAGCAGCCTCTGCAAGGCCATGCTTGGTACGCCCTGCTGGCCGTGCTGGCCGCCGCCGTGCTCGTGCTCTGGTTGATCGCCCGCTGACGATTGCGCCTGTGCGAGACACGCTGGGCCCGAGAAGCTGACTTGTCGCCCGAGGAGGATGCATCGTTCTGGGCGCTGATCGTGCTGGGCATCTGCTGCCAGCAGGGCGCCGTAGTGCGCGCGGACGGTGCGCTCTCCTGCCGGCTGGCTGTCAGTGCCGTGTACATGCCAGCAGGGTGCCGTAGTGCGCGCGGACGGTGCGCCCTCCTGCCGGCTGGCCGTCAGTGTCGTGTGCTCGCCGTCATGCTTCATCTTCGCCTGCTACTCGGGGACGCTGCTCGCTCAGATGGCCATCATTCGCCGCCAGACGCCGTTCGCCAGTTTCGATGCGGCGTCCGCGAGGTGCTGGAAGCTTAACGTCGAGGGCGTCAGCCTTGCGGCGCGTGAGATGATAGTACAACCTTTGCTGGCCGGCCAGGACCTACGCCACCTGCCCACGACTCGCGACCGCCCGTTGCAGGGCAAGAACATGCGACCGTTTACCACCGGGCTTATTTCCCCTACCTGCGGCTGATCAGCTACGTCATGCCCCAGGTGCTCGACCGCGGCATCATGAGACGCGAGCCGCGGAAGTGGCGCCCGATACACCCGGCTGAGCGATTCTGTCCCACAGATGCGGTGTCGATGGAGAAGACGCGGCTGGACCTGGCGACACCACGGCACTTGTTCACCATAGCGGACGCGGGTGTGCTCTGCTCGGTCGGTGTTCTGTTACTCGAGAGCGTCGTATCGTACATCTGGTTCTTCTACAACACCAGACTGAGATAGGCTGTCCTCGTAAATTCTGACGCTTCGATGACCTGGTGACCTTTTGCTTAAAATACGGAATCGACTACCGGCTGATGTTGCATGCTTTGGGAGCTTTTCATGAGAGGCGCCAGCACATAGCAGCGCCCAGGGCAAGCGCCCCCCCCCCCCCCCCCCATCAAGGCTATGACATGCCTGAATTTGTGCGTGAGCGAGTGCTGGAAGGTCACAATTCCAGATTTTGAGCTCTTCCTCCCTCCGTAGTGAAATCCTTCGTACGCCCTGCTTATCATGGCCGGTCATGTGCTGCTGCGCAGCTGGGCCTCACACCAGGCATGAAAATGTGCACCCGTCTCTTTGTTAGTCGTTTCATGCGACTGCTTGCAGAGCTTGATGTATCGTTTTGCCCGTCTGCCTGCTTTATGTCACCACTTCTTCTGGATAGCTGCGCTGGTCAAACTATTGTGGAATTAAAATGATTTTGAGTGAGCTGCCGTCACTTGCAACGTACTTCTGCCGATATGCGAAGCAGCACTCCCCATCGCTAAACAACGTGTTAGGTACACAAAAACCATTGCCCGACTCCGATTGCTCTAGTTACACGATTGCTAGGTGGAAGAGGCGTTCCCGCGATGTCCGAACTAGCATGCTGCTAAACGTTCTTTACTCCTTGTCTGGGCTCCTGGAAATGCTGAAGGGCCTTCGTTGCACCCACGTCAACATTTCAATCTCTCATCGGATGTTCGTTGAGCCATATTTACCTGCTGTCTATGCAATGACCCGTCTCCTTAACACGCACATTGTCCTAGAGCTTAGATCACTGCGGGCACGGGCATGCAGCCAAACAATGAGCAATTACCGCCAGCCTCTCTTGCACTCCTGCCTAATGGTAGCTCTTGCCTCGCGTCGGGGAAGTAGGAGCAACGTTTAAGTTGGGGGGAGGAGTATGTGGCAAAGGTTCCATTAAAGGGAATGTTCCACATTTGATGGTATTGAGGCAAACATCAAGTATGATGAAATAAGCTGACTCGTAGTGATTGGATCGCTATTAAGTGTAGAAGACTGGCCTAGACCCACCAAGAGGAAAATGTCGGTCACTTCAAAGCTGGCATAGGACATTCATTCCGTGTTGTTGCTTGATGTACACACTTAATGACATCAAACACCATACACGAGCCGGCGTTTGGTTATTGAATGAGGGTTAACATCATATATTAACATAATATTACGGCGATTGCGACGCACTCGAATGGTGTTTATGCCCATGCACAGCGCTGTGAACTTTGACTGGAAACATTCGGCACTGTCTTACTCTGTCAGTGGAACCCCATCAGTTGATGCATGAAGCCTTGGAAGAAATGGGTCTGCGGTTTACTGAGATGAGATATAAGGGATAAAATTTCTCGAGCATTTTGGCGATTGCCCATTCTAAATTCCATCCTCTTCCGTATAACGCGTATTTGGAAGCCAGCATCACGTGGCTTAAAATATACTTGGCACAGTAGAAATTTCATGGTCCATGTATTTTGATCACTTCGGTCCAAGCAGCATCACTGGTGTTAGCAAAACAATGTTGTGTATCATTTGACACTCATACCCAATTTTGTGCTCACTTTGCATAGGTCTTAAATTAAGGAAAATGACAAAATGTGCTGAGTGTGTCCATGTCCCGAGCGCCGGGATGTGGCGCAATGGGGTGTGGCGGATGTGGCGCACGTGTAAATACATGGAAGAGAGCGAAAGAAGACTGTTATTGAGGAAGACACAGCAATAGACACGCACGAGATATGGAGCAAAATTTGCCAATTCCTCTGCCTGAGCTATGAGAAAATAAATCGGGGTCCAGCAGTTGACGCTAATGGCGAGGCCCTGGCCAAATCAATATTTTGACTGCTGAGGAGAGCTTGTACGTTCTGCCCATTCCCTTCGCATATTGCACCGGTATTTGCCTTCATGCATTCTGGCCGACTGGTTCGGGGCCTCTGGCGGTGCTGTCTGGAAATCGATGTGGATAACAAGGAGTGCACCGAGGAAAAGAACGAGGACCGGCAAACATGTTATCCGTCGAACGAGACGCAGAAACTGACCCAGTCGAGCAGCGACCTGGAGAAAAGACCGGCAACGCTGAATTCCGATTTCCCAACGGAGATTCCTACAACGGAGGGTACCGAATCTGGCCAGAGGAGAAGGCCAAGAGCTACGGCATTGTCCGCCATGGAGACGGCACCTACACCACCAGCGATGGCGACCAGTACACCGGCACCTGGGCCGAGGACACTCTGGACGGTGCGGTCACCATCTGTTTCGTAGACGGAAGCACGTTCAGCGGGACCCTGCAAGACGGCCAGTACGCGGGACCGGGCCGCTACAGCTTCCCCGATGGCTCCTACTTCGAAGGCACATTCACGTGCAGCCAGATCTCCGGCGAGGGCGTTTGGATGGACGCCCACGGGCAGGAGTGGCGCGGCCAGTTCGCTACCGACAAGGCACTCAGCCTCAGGTTCAAACACAATCTGTGACGAGACGGAGCCGTCAGTCGTAGGCGCCCGGTGTTCGCTAGTTTTTGAAGGGCATGATGGCAGTCGTCATGTATTTGCTTTGGATTCCCGCTAGTTGGAAGAAAGTAGAGGTGGAATTAGGGCGCTCTTGGCAAGCATGAGTCGTGAGTCATGAGCATGAGCCATGGGTCTGCATTTATTCTTCTGACGACCGGAGCTGAGGCCGGTGCTAACGGTCGTTAACACCCCAGTTGACAATGGTCATGTCTGCAAACAACATTGTTTACAGGATATTTCCCTACTTTTCGTTTTTCCCAATGACAAATATGAAGGAATCCAGTGAGCATGGCAAGGAATCCGATCAGCATCGTAAAAATACCCAATATCATGGTCTATTCAAGAGTTGGTGCAAACAACATATCCACCACCCCTCAGTCCAGCGCGCCATCATCAAGACGATGCGGGTGGGAAGGACCTCGCATGTTTTACCAACGATTAAGCTTAAGCAATCCAATACACGTGATATGAAAGCACCTCACTAATATCGTTTATCCATCCATTGCTAACTTTTCAAACACAGCACTGGATGAGTTGTTGAGTTGCTACCGCGCCGCAGAGAGCATTGTTGGTACCAAAGGCGATTTCCGAAACAAATCAAGAAAAACGCATACGAGTTCAGCAACACAGTGTTAACTTCACTCATGCATTCACTTTTACTCGAGAAGTAACCACCACGGTCGTTTTGCGGCACGAGTTGCCTCTACCAGCCCGTTGATGCGAGTTCCCTCCATTTTTTTTAACTCCGTTAACCCGAGACACAAAGACATGTCATCTAACATCCCGGTTAGAGCCACATGACGATGCCATCAGCGCGATACCACTCCTCAGTCCAGCACGCCACCCCCCCCCCCCCCCCCTCTCCTCCCAGTCCAGCGCACCACCACCCCTCAGTCCAGCGCACCACAACCCCTCGGCCCAGCGCGCCACCACCCCTCAGTCCAGCGCACCACGACCCCTCAGTCCAACGCGCCATCCACCCATCAGTCCAGCGCACCACAACCCCTCGGCCCAGCGCGACACCACCCCTCAGTCCAGCGCACCACAACCCCTCAGTCCAGCGCACCACAACCCCTCAGTCCAGCGCGCCACCACCCCTCAGTCCTGCGCGCCACCACCCCTCAGTCCAGCGCGCCATAATAATGTAACCGCTCCCTTCGATATCGAAATAGAGTTAGCACTCTTGCCAGCTGTTCCCAGCCCCATGGAATCCAATAAATCTACACTCGGCTATTCCACCAGCCTTCTGGCATACTCGGTGGATGGGTTATCCTTGAGATACTTCTGCAGGTACCAGCACGTCAGCTTCATCTTCTTGTCCTCCAGGATAACGTAATCAAAGGCAGCCTGCAAACAACATCAAGCTGATGAAGCGGTCTACAAACATGAATCTAACGGTGCACCTGTGAAATTTTGAGAAAGCCGCGGGCACAAGATATGTACATTTGTGACATTGTGAGAAACGCCTGCGTGAAATCACAAAACTATCAACGCATATCAATTGATGAGCTGAGATGGTAATTGCCACGTTGGAGCTAGCGAAGGGCATTCATTTATGTACAGAGGGGGCAGAGAAATAAATTCACCAATGGTCAAAAATCGAGGAGCAGACATTTTCACCATAAATGAACCGTTCCACGAGTATACTGCTTTCAATAACTAACAATGAATCAAGCACTGCACTTAAATACAATAATTTTAGACACGGAAATTTTAGACATGTTCAAAACCATCTGCATTAAAACCAACCGGCACCATTGTTCACACATGGACAGAATCGATCTTCTGGTGCTTAAGATACAGGCATTGGGGCGTTATCACCTTGTCAACCAATGCTCCCGCCAACGTCACCCAACCGCCCATGATTTATCAGTTCTTGTCTTCATTGGTTGCCCGCTAGTAAGACCACTGTTTGCCGTTGCTATGGCAACAGATCGGACGGCAGCATTTGGTGCGCAGTGTTCAGGACAGGGTACGAAGCGTAAGCCCAAAGGCCAAACACAAACTGGTAGTTGACGCCAACACAGCAAATACGCGCGTCATGTCATTCACCATTGTCGTTCGTCCCGGGAGTTTGACAGTACACCCCTGGGGTTCCACAAAAAGCGGTGCAATGCAATGGCGTTTGAGTACTAACACGAAACATCGTAATCCGAGAATGGAAAGCCGCAAGGATAACTATACTTAACATAAAACAATTGTTTGCTGAAAACTGAAAAGGGCTGCAATCCAGTCCGCGGTGGGCTGATGGCTGCCAGGCCTTTCCACTGACCTTGGCGAGAAGTTTCGCTACGCCCCGCCCCCGGAAGGACTTCGGGACGACCGTGTGCTGCAGGTCCAGCACGTCTTCCGACACGTGCTCATACTGCAGGTACGCCTTTTCGTCTGCCAGGAAATGCCAGTCAGAACTGTGAATTGTCTGGTGGAAAAACCACAGAGCCGGGCATACAATGACTAGGACATGTTTCTAAATCAGCAATCTGAAAATGGCACAAGAAACATCTTAAGCATCATCTCGTCAGGCTGGCGCCCTTTTAGTCTTAATGGTATAGGTATCGAAAGGCCTCAGTGTGTGAGGAGAAGGTGCAATGCCAGTTTTGCCATGGATCCTTTCTTTGTATCATCATGAGGGTTGACATTTGACATGAAAAGTGGGGAATGATTTCTTCCCCCTAGCCCCCGCCGCTGCTCCTAGGTCTATGCTTCACAGATCATTTCAAATGAAAGGGATTAGACGGAGCGTTGGGCTACACAAAGCCCGAGCCGTACTCCGCCCGGGACACCGGTCGGGTTGTGCACGTCCTCAGGCGAGACTGCCATCGGCGCCCCAGCCTGCATGGCCGTCGGGTCGAACCACGGCTGACGTTTTCAGCCCGCCCGTGCTGCCAAGAGGCGCCGCGGAACTGCAGGATGAGGCGGAGGTGGGCGCGGGAGGCCAGGGCCATAAGTCGTCTCGAGCCCATGCCGACGATTACCGGAGCCGGGAAGCTCGATGAACAGCTCGCGGTCGACGGTGTCGTGCTGTACAGACAGTGGCTGGCCGGCCGCGGACGCCGTCTGGTGCCGCGAGGATGCCGCTACCGACGCCGAGGGCCGCACCACAGCACGTCCGGACCGCGCCGCGGCCCGAGTCAGCATCGCCGTAGGTCTGCAGAAGCACACGGCGGACCGGGATAAAAGCACACGACTCTTTTGGTGCAGGTGTACGCTTACGTAAGCGTTTTCGTCACGGATGCTGGTTTCACGCCTTCCAATATGCATGATCGGGCGTGTTGCGACGACCAGGGAGAAGGATCGACGGAGTGGATAATAACGGCTCGAACAGGTGACTGATCCTTCGCGTGTGGACCGACTACCTCCGAGGATATCGCAGTGCCGACGCGGGCTGCAACTGTGAAGTGTGCCTGAAAAAGAAGCCACTACGCCTCCATCACCAGGTTAGAGCCCTTCTCCGTCCCCCCTTCTCCCCTGAGACCCAACTCCGGTGGTACTTTCTAAGCCAATAAAATCAATTTAAATTCTGTTGGCAGCCGAGTGCCTTTTTGTTTCTTACCGGGAGCGGGTTATTCTGGCTGTGCCCCTTTGACGGTCCTCGACAAATTCATTCTCGGAGCGAGTGTGCAAAATCCGCTTGGAGAGGGGATCCGGTACAAAGCGAGTAAACGTTCTGACACCAGCAAATTCACATGAAGTAGTCGAGGGGGTGGATAGAGAGACGGATCACGCCATGGAAAACACGGCTGTGGTGCTTGGCTTGGCTTGCTTGCTTTCACTTGGGCATGCACCATTTCTCCTCCTGTAGTTTGCGGAAGGATTGAGGCAAGGTTTTTGTATCACGGATGAACAAATTGCTCGGGCTTCCGCCCCGTCTGGTGTGTCGCTGGGGGCACATTCTCTGTCCCGGCCACGGGCTGAATGGCCATTCCGATCCCACTCAGGAAGGGCCAAGGACCACTCACTGATGCAGAAATCCGCCATCGCCGCAGGTGATCCAATACAGGACACAGAGACTCCAGTCTGGCCAATCGGGCCGCTGGCTAAAATGACATAGAAGCCTCACTGTGTACTGGAGACCCCAGGTAACACAGGGGCCATCCACTGTCTCCCGCGGACTCTCCTTGTAAGTCCTCAATTTTTGTCATTGTCAGAGGGCCGGACCAACGCAAAAGGTCCCCTGACATTCAGGGTTCCGTCCCTATCCCTGCCCAGCAAATGTGCTCTGGCCAAGTCGGGGCCCACTTATGATACATAACCCCTCGCGTTAGTCACTGTGAGCCCATGACCGACATAGGGACACCTCCTTCCTTCAAGGGCCCAACAAATGCAAATGGCGGCCACCGACACTGTCCCTGCTTAGGAAATGGGTCTCCAGGACTCAGTCCGACAAGGAGTTGAGCGTCCGGTGTTGGTGTCCTCTGGTCAACACAGAGGTTCGCATTGTCCCATGAGGTCCCCAGTCGGTGCAAGAGCTCTCCGACTGACATTCAGGGACCCGGCCCCACGGGCCCCGTACGGCCCTGCATCCCTTGCACCCTTCCTGAGTACGCGCGGAGCGAGGCCGGCCCGACCGCTCCCGCACCCACCGAGCACATGGCCACAGATGCGCGCGGTTCGAGGCGTTCGGAAAGCAAGCCTATCGCGCAACCTTCACTGAGACACATGAGCGGCGACAATGTGGCGGAGGGTCCAGGATTTCACGGCGTCTTGCATCAGAAACTGGTGTGACCTGACGCGATGAGAAAACGAAAGCAGCCCTGGCGTAGGAGGGTGCAGGGACTGCTCCCTCTGCTAACGGCCCATAAGCATGTTCCGACACGGACTGCAGGTAAAGCTACGGGGCTTCAGTGTGGCTGGGCGGTGACCTGGATGCCATGGCCGGTACAGGTCGGTTTGGTGACAAAAGCAGGCGGTCAATGTCGAGGTCATCCGGCTCGGTCCAGCTCGGCCAACCCGGGCAGGGGACATTTGGACGGGAGAACGGTCAGCAAACTGGCGTAAAACAACGCTTCGGAAAGGACTGTTCACGAGTTGTACGTGTTTTTTTTTCACTCGGGTCGCGCTGGATGCGGCAAACACAACCCCAGCACGAAAGGTGGCCGATAATTCTCCCTGCATTAAAGGTCTGTAAGTCAGTCCGCGGGCGTATCCAGTGGGCTAATTTAAATTGAACAATCCCTTAGTCCCAGGGAGACTGGCAGGGCGACCGCATGCGCAGTCAGCATCCGGCGATGCCGTGACAATAGTGGGAATCAAATCTCGTGGGTAGAGGCATCACTTGATATGCTTTCAGGGTGGTGGGTGGGGGCGGGGGGGGGGATAAGCTCCTTGAATGCTGGCGTGAGCCCCTCAATGTACAAGAGGAAAGAGGGAGCGATAGGCCGGATAGATTTAAGTTAATTACCTTAACTTTTCGTATGCTACGCATCGAGAAGTTTGTATGGTAGCCAGTGTGTGCCAAATAATATTAGGTACGCACCTCATTTCTTGTCATAGCATTTCCTTCATAGGTTGGACGAGTCTGGGTGTGTTTGACGCGTTTGTCACATGATCATGTCTGGATTGAAATAAAGGACAAGTGACAGCAATAGGCGCCAACTTTTCAAAGCAGAGGCTGGCCCAGATAAAAGCAAACCCATGTTGCCCCCAAAACAGTGGCAAGTGTAGCTATTTGTCGCCCAATCGTGGCTGTGCTGGCTAATCGACTGGTCAGCGCCAACGGCACCTGAATCCTACAACCCACACCTACAACGCAGTACCTACACCCACAACGCGGTACCTGCACCTAAAATGCGGGTACCCACACCTACAACGCGGTGCCCACACCTGCAACGCCGTCCCTACACCTACAACACCGTGCCCACACTTAAAACCCAGACCTGCAACGCGGTACCTACACCTGAAACGCGGTGTCCACACCTGCAACGCGGTACCCACGCCTGCAGCGCGGTACCACACCTACAACGCCGTACCCACACCTGCGACGCGGTACCCACAACTACAACGCCGTAACTACACCTACAACGCCGTACCTACACCTAAAATGCAGTACCCACACCTGCAACGCGGTACCCATACCTACAAACGCGGTACCCAGACCTACAATGCGGTACTCACACCGACAACGCCGTACCTACACCTACAACGCCGTACCTACACCTAAAACGCGGTACCCATACCTGCAACGCGATGCCTACACCTAAGAAGCGGTACCTACGCCTACAACGCCGTACTTACACCTACAACATGGTACCTACAGCTACAACACGGTACCTACACTCGCAAGGCGATCAGGTACAGCAGTAGTCACCAGTGCTCCCTTACCAAGCTTTAAAAAAAAATTGTGAATCGCTCAAAATTCTGAGCTGTTTAGCGTAAGACGGCTTCACATCGCCTTGAACAGGGAACATTCCTCCGCAGTAAAGCAATTTTATATACCACGAATTAGGGCGTGTCGACTAAAATGAGGATATGGCGCCCATCCTCTCATCTCATCCTCATCCCCGCTTTATTTCAGCATCGGAACGCAGCTTAGAATGGGAGCAATCAGGTTTTCGGGATAGATTACACCAGACTTTTGGCCCGCCCCCCCCCCCCCCCATTTTACACAGTGGCACCCATGGACTATGAGGGAGCCCAGCCTAACTCGGCCCACTCAAAGCCGGAAGGATGCAGTTTGTTCTGTTCGCAAAACCGTCCGAGAGGGCCAGACCGGCGTAAAACGCGGCGACGAAAGGGACCAATTTAAGACTTACAGGTACTTTTTGGTGAGTTCGGACCAAGCGGACAGCAGGGGGCGAGCGGGTCGGGAGCAAGCCTTAGTGACTACTACCAAGAAGGGCTAGTTTTCTTAAACATAGTACGCAAGCCAGATGGTAAATGAGCACACGGCCAAGGGTCGAACGTTTGGGGAATACATGTTCAGCATGGTCACGGGCCCATCCGAAGAAAGGCGCTGTCAGAAAAAACGCCGGCACTGGATGTTGGGGCCACGATCCGGTACTTTTCGAGCGCACAGGGTGAGCACGTGGGGCAGTTACCTCTAGGGAGAGACCGTCACCTTTCTGTAACGGGATAGCTAGCTATCCCGTATCGTGACAACTACTGGCTCCGGAAAACGCAACAGTTGTTTTCGAAAGAATGTCAGATTAGAAGAAAAGGAGCTTTCTCATGCGAGGATAGTCCAAATTGCCACCGAATACTTAAACACAGCACAAGAATACGCAGTTTAGCGCCAAGCAAGCGTGTCAAATTTATTGCATGGCGTATTTACATGGCATGGTCCCGATGGTTTTATATAGTTTCGATAGTTCTAGTCGTTTTCTTTTTCGGTCCATAGTCCTCAATAGTTAAAGGTTCAAATTTATCTCTTGTTTATTAGCGTTAACATTTATTTACGCATTTATCAATCCACGTTTTCAATTTTATAGCGGAGCTTTTGACGCCTCTCGTTTCCTTTATTTTCATGGCGTCGTGTCAATTACTATGACGTCAAACAATGTCTACTGCACAACTACAATCCATCCTTAAACCTTGGACACCGATGAGGAAGAGCCCCAAACGTGACCGCCGGAGCTCCGCGGTCGTGCGGGATAGGTTGCTGGCGGGGTTCGTGGTTACATTTAAGACATACGCGTTGAGCCTCTTTGAAAAAGTGTTTATTATCTGAGGTTGGAGGTCCCGACATGGCCATCGAAATTGAATCCGCCGAGTAAGTACAACCTTACCTGCTGTCGCCCGCAACCGGCGCCCTCGCTACGCCGCGTCTTCTAAAATCTGTGGGACCTCGAGTCGGTAGATGGTAGCGTCCTCGCGGGGCATTGGCCCGTTTCTCTCATTGGACCTAAGCACGTATTTTCAGTTCGGTAGACAGTCGTATGGTGGTTTTTGGCGCACATGTTCCAAAATATGCGAATTTTCGGAAATGCGATGTAGTCACTTACGAATGAGTCAAAATGGCTTTAGTTATGTATATTATATCTGTGGAAAATAGAAAATAACATGAAATAAAAGGATCATCAGGAGGGTAGCTTTTTTGGTCTCATTAATGAGTCAACACCATGTAATAAGATTATGTTCAAGGTGATTTCAGGCATAATCCCAGCCAGTTGGTATTCTGTTAATAAGGCTGGAATCTCCCCAAACTGGGCCATGTTTTGAATATTATGGGAGCAGGCATTATTATGATACATGACATTTATGGCCATGACCGATTAGTTATGCCCTATTCACCTTGCCATGGGGAGCTGTGTGCAATGGCAAAGGGGATACCTATGGCACAACATTTGTAAATAAGTTAATTATTTGCATGACCAAGCCCATGCTTGTGAGAGCAACCCCTTCTATTCCTTATCAGCTCAATGATGAAACATCAGAGAATGCTGTTTTAAGTGCCAATGTGCACCAACATGTGATTGATATGGTAGTGCAGGAAACACAGTGGTGCAGGAAATTGTAATGAACATGTGCCTTAGTGATGAAACATCACTGAGTGCAGATTTGTGTGATAATGTGCACCAGTATGAAACTAGTATGATAGTGGGGGAGCATACAATAGTACATGGATTACCCCTTATATACAAAGGGAGTATCTTAGTAATGGTACCTTTTGCATGTACTTGGGGGGGGGGGGGGAGGCTGAGCTAGGTGCTGGTTTAGCCAGTGTTCTTGGCAAATGGCACTTTCATGTTCATACTGAGCATTGTTGAGCATATTCATATTGAGTATTCATTGATGGGCTATCAACAGCAGTTATGCAGTGGGTGTTGAAGAGACGTGTACAAGATCATGCTTCAGAATCCATGGTTTGAGGAAAACTTATATAAAATTGAGGATATAAATTGGTAGAGATATTAATGTTTACCTATATTTAATCACATCTGCATGCACTGCAATTAAAATGCTAGTTGTGAAACTGTTCACTGTTAAAGAAAGCTCATATTTTGTCATTAGGTGCATCATTTCCTATTTATTTGTGCTCCAGCTCCCTCATTTTTTAGAAGCGAGTGGGCCAGATGTATGAAGAACAATGTTGATGGCATACTTTGTGGGTAGGTTTGACCATTGGTCACTGCCCAGCCCCCCCCCCCCCCTAACTCCTGTTGTCTAACTACACACCCCTATCTTGCATGTCTTACTTGAACTAGAAATGTCTTCAGGCATAACATCACAAGAGGTTTAGTTTTGCAAACAAGTTCAGAGTGTGAGGGGGGGGGGGGGTGAGAGGGAGCTAAGCAGGGAAACATTGTAAAACCTACCCAAATAGCTCTTTTTCTGCATGGATCCTCCATGGGCTGACTTTCATATCAAGGATGGTAGGCTGTTTCCCCAAATAGTGGGAAACTACATCCCTCATCTCTAGCCTTGAGCTGCAACAGCTGCAGACATAGCACTCTTGAAGGATCTTAATAATCAGATTGCCCATCCACATTCAACCATTCCCCACACATTCATAGCTCACCCATGGTCAAATATGTAATCCACATAAATATGTGATGCCCACCTATCCAAATGTCCACTCATTTCACACGAATGTTTACTAGCCATGGGGAGATAGATTTAGCTGCCATCAGCTCGATTGAAATGGAGTAAAAAAGCACAAATATGAGATCATTTCTATAGACTTTTAAGGGTGCTCAGTATGTGTGTTATGTAGGCTTTTTGCATTGGTACAAAAACAAAATATCAATATTATTCAGCTTTCAGGTCTTGAAACATTGGAAAGTGTTCAGATATATACCTTGTATGTATTTGTATATTATGCATCAATGGTTTTCGCTATCCATTTCATCAGATCAACTATTGGTGTCTGATGACTAGCATTGATGTTCGCTGTCATGTGAAGATCTACTTCTTAGGAATTGTGCTATTGTCAGTGCAGTTAGCTTCTAAAATATCGCCCCAGAACAGATAGAGGTTGTGCTAATATGCTGATCAAAGCCCCAAAAGCTCCCCCTGGCTAGTCTGCCATTTATCAGTATGTTTCAAATTAGTCAACACTATCACCTGGTTGCATTTCTAAAAGTCATATTGAGTTTGAGAAGCATATTTTTAAGATGCATGTTACTTTTCAAGATAGGTTGGGCACGCAATATACATTTCAGATGCCTTCTCTTAAGATGTATTATGCATATGCTTCTCTGCAACAACTGTTTGACCATAGTTGTACTTTGAACCCCACTCAGGAAGTGTTTCATCTGACAACTGTTTTTGCTGTCTCACATTAAGACATGACCTGCTTCAAGTGATGAGCTGCTTCATCTGACATTGTTTTTGATACCCCAGTTTCAGATGTTATATGCTTCAAATTATGAGGTGGGTAGTACTGCATGGTCTGGACTGTAATGAAGTCTTGTGTGTGCACAATTCTACTTCTCAGCAACTGAGTATATTTGTTCCTGTGAGCCAGCTCAAATGCACTCTTAACCTGTCACACAATAAGATAATTGCCACTAGACCCATTTAATGCTGTCATTCACTTGTTTGGAGTTGCCCTGAATTTGCGAACTCAGAGCTGCGGAGTGATACCTGTTGTACCTCTACAAATGCTCATGTGGTGGGTCAATTGACCCTGTAACTTTCTCAAAATAACTCCCGACTAGCGCGACGTAGCTGCGCTGAACTTTCTATTCCTTGGGAAATACAACAACTGATCTTTAAGTATAAAATAGATGTACCTCGTTCGGTCGCGGACCTATGACAGGCCAAAGGCCATTGCCTCTAGGAAAGGACAATTGTGTGGAAAATAGCTCGATCCGATACGATAACAGAGTGCAAAAAAACATATTTTGGGATGGTTTTGTCACTGACATAAAATAACCCTGACAACATTGTGTTTGGGGGAAATGTATCATTGAGCATTAGCATCTTTAAATGAAAATTTACGACTACTCGTAGGTTTGTGGTCACTGTGACCTTCTGAAGGAAAAATAAGACCACTGACCTGAAATGAACACCAGTGCCTTTTGCTTAGTAGAGGTATTACAGTTTAGGTGGCTGGGTGAGGAGGTCTGAAGGGACTTCAGACATTTATTGGAGGTTGGAGCATGTTTGACCTTATGTTATGCAAAGGAAGGCCAGAAGCAACCTGAGATCCTCAAAATTTGACACAAGTGGGCTCACATACAAAGCTTGTCTACTGTGTGAATTGTGGTGTTTCTAGCCCCCTTAATTTTTGAGTTCTGACGGGCCTCACTTCTCTCGCCTCCTCACTTGCTTTTGCCTCAGTTCCCAGCCCCATCAAAGCGCGTCGAGTTCAGCCCGGCCACCGGCCGCTAGCTAAACCGCTCATCCAAGTGGCAGTGTGATGACAGTGCTGGTAGCTCAGAGATGGTCGCGGCTGGTATAGTTGTGCTGCACCTTACCCTTTGTTGCACCGTTCACTGTTTTTTTCTTTAAATACCGTTGCTGCTTCTTGAACCTGCCATCCAAGAAGTGTGGTGGGTATCAAAACGGCATTCGGGCCGCTGGCAGATTCAGCCAAAAAGGATCATGGAGAGATATCATTTTCTACCTGTGCATGTTACAACAAGCTGATTCCTGACAAATTGAACCCCTGGTTAGTTGGCGTGTGGCGTTATTCGTACGGGACCAATGCAATTTATGCGGTTTTACTCGAACCCAGAGCTTCTGGGCTTAAAGGCTGGTGTCGCCAGCAAGACCCCGGAGAAAGTAAAGGAGATTTAGACGTTGTTTACCGACGCCGTTTTTACTTTCAGCGTTGTGCGACTTATTCAGCAGTATCTGAAGGAGAACAACCTGATGCGCACACTTCAGACGCTGCAGGTAATATGCTTTTCTTGGTCCCAAATCTTGCTGTGCCTCTGATCTTGGACACATTTGACCATAAATTCATTTGTTTATGCGCACAATTTGTTTTTTTGCAGGTGCTTCAATTTTGACTTGTATCTGCCTACCATGTGTGTGTATCTGTATGTTATATGTTGTCCGTCAATATAGCCGCGATAGTCGGTCAGTCAGCACATTACAATCGGACGCGGGTAAAAATTACACGCATTGTTCGAATCAGAAGTGCTCAACTTTGCCTGGGTGTGATATGTATTGTCCTTCGTGTGGTGGGCTGTTGAGTCGTGGCACACAGCGGCTCATTCAATATCGGCTTTGTGTTCCTGGTGCAGGAAGAGACAACGACATCACTAAACACCGTGGATTCGGTGGACAGCTTCGTGGCAGACATCAACAACGGTCACTGGGACACCGTTCTCAAGGCCATACAGTCCCTCAAACTGCCAGACAAAAAACTCATCGATCTCTACGAACAGGTGAGGCCCGTCCAGAGGACGCCAACGCAAAGCGCAGCTACTGCTGTGATAGCGGGGTATGGGGAGATGCTCTGTTGAACTGTGGAACAGTGCGTCGCGGAAACGCTTCCAATTACCGCCCTGTTAAACCCGAGCGCAGCACGGGACTGCGGGCGGCGTGCTTGCGACTGGTGCTGATGCAGAAGGGCTGCGGCACGCGGCCCGCCGCCGCGTCATACTGCGGCTCGCGGCCCGCCGCCGTGCCGCAGTATGGCGCAGAGGTACGCGGCCGCTGCCGTCCGCCAGCCGCCACGCCGCTATCTCTGGCATCTCTGGTGACGTGGTGTGTGTGTGTTGTGGCGGGCTTGTTCCCACTATGCGCTTGCAATGACGAGCAAACCTTCCAGCTCCGCGCGTGTTCTGACGGTCTGATCACTACCCGGTACGTGCTGTGAGGGTTCGATCACTGCCCGGTACGTGCTGGGGCGGTTCGATCGCTGTCCGGTACGCGCTGTGACGGTTCAATCACTGTCCAGTACGTGTTGTGACGGTTCAATCACTCCGGTACGTGCTGTGACGGTTCGATCACTGCCCGGTACGTGTTGGGGCGGTTCGATCACTGTCCGGTACGCGCTGTGACGGTTCGATCACTGCCCGGTACGTGCTGTGACAGTTCGATCACTGTCCGGCACGTGCTGTGACGGTTCGATCACTGTCCGGTACGTGTTGTGACGGTTCAATCACTCCGGTACGTGCTGTGACGGTTCGATCACTGCCCGGTACGTGCTGTGACGGTTCGATCACTGCCCGGTACGTGCTGGGGCGGTTCGATCACTGTCCGGTACGTGCTCTGACGGTTCGATCACTGTCCGGTACGTGCTGTGACGGTTCGATCACTCCCGTACGTGCTTTGACGGTTCGACCACTGCCCGATACGTGCTGGGACCGTTCGATCACTGCGCTGTGTGTGTTGTCGAGTTCTGATGCATGTCCTGTGTGTTGTGACGGCGCGCCTGCGGTGACGGCGGCGAGGTGGATGACTGTGCGGTACGGCGGCGCGCCGGCCCGCCGGCGGTCGAGGCGGCGGGCCGGACCTGACACACCGGCCGCCGCTGCAGGTGGTGCTGGAGCTGATAGAGCTGCGAGAGCTGGGTGCAGCGCGCTCACTACTCCGCAACACGGACCCCATGATAATGCTCAAGCAGCACGAGGCGGACAGATACGTGCATCTGGGTAAGGCCGCCGTCGTCCGGCCGGGCTGGGCTCGGGCCCGGCGCCGTCACGGGCCGGCGGGGAGAGGTAGCGGCCGCTGCAAGGACGGTGAACTTTGTGCCCTTCATGGCCGCCGTGTTAGGTGTCAAGCACCACGGCAGTGTCAGTCGTCAAGCACCGCTGCACCGGGCCGGGGTGTGCCGCGTGGGGCAGCTGGTAGCGTGTTCTTGGCGATCAGGCTCAGCAGTCGTTTGTTTCTGCTGCGGCTGCTGTAACGGATGCCTCGAAAGCGATTGATGCGCTTGAAGATCGCTGTAACGACGAAATGTGGTCAGTCACGTCCCTGTGGTTTGATATGGTGTTCCAAACAAATGTTTGTAGAGTCACAGTGCACCGGATCTTAACCAGTGTCAGATTCACCGAGAGTGACGCGCACCACCGACTCCCCCCCCCCCCCCCACGCACACACTACCGGCTCGCCTGCTCCACTGGTGCCCCGCCCCGTGACCGCCCCCCCCCCCCCCGCCGCCTCTGCTAGAGAACCTGCTGGCGCGCTCCTACTTCGACCCGCGCGAGGCGTACCCGGACGGCTCGAGCAAGGAGCGGCGCCGGGCGGCTATCGCGCAGGCGCTGGCCGGCGAGGTATCGGTGGTGCCGCCCAGTCGCCTGCTGGCGCTGCTCGGCCAGGCCATGAAGTGGCAGCAGCACCAGGGCCTCCTGCCGCCCGGTGGGTGGCCTGCCGACGATGCGCCTCGGCGGCGACATCATTGGGGTGGGGGAGGGGGGCAGGCGTTGGCGTGTGGTGTTGAAGGGGATATGGGACCAGTGCGGGTGTGGGACTGGGGTGGTGGATGGGGACAGTGCAGGCATGAGGGGGGAGGGGGTGCGTGTTTGGGGGAGGGACATTATAGGCGCGGCGGCCTTGTGGTGGAGTGGTTGTGGGTACAGTGCAAGTGTGGAGGTAGGGTGGTGGAGTGGGTGTGGGTAGAGTGCAAGTGTGGAGGTAGGGTGGTGGAGTGGGTGTGGGTACAGCGCAAGTGTGGAGGTAGGGTGGTGGAGTGGATGAGGTTACCGTGCAGGCGCGGGGACGGGGTGCTCGCCGCGCTGCTGCTGCCCGCGGCTGTCCTGCTCTGGGGACTGATCTCGGGCCAGACTCGTGTGCGGGCGCGGTCAGGGCTGGTGGGGGGAAGGCTGCCGTGTGTGACGCCCCCTCGCCGACAGGCACCCAGATCGATTTGTTCCGAGGCAAGGCCGCCATTCGTGAACAGGAGGAGGAGACCTACCCCACGCAGCTCTCCAAGCAGATCAAGTTCCGCAAGACGCACCCCGAGTGCGCCGGTGGGTGCCCGCTCGGTAGACGGCGGCTTCGTCACGGCCGCAGAGGCGATACATTACCATGTGGCGCGTGCTGACGATGGGCAAGGCCCGCTGGGGCCGCCGTGATGGCATTGTTTGCGTTAGCGTCTGTGGGGGTGTTTGAAGGAGTGGCGGAGGGGGGGCCCTCCCTGCTATTGTTACCGGCTTGCGGCAGCGCCGCGCGCAGCCGACGCAGCCACGCACAGATGCAGCTGGATTTCGCGGATGTCACCGACCTCACCGGGGCTTTAATTGGCGTAAAATATGTAGTGGCAACAGCAAGGCATTTGCTACGTCGCCGCCATTGCTGCGGCCGCATTTTGTGTGGAAAGTGTGTTCGCTGGTGCCGGGGGACGGCTGTGGTGCAGGGTGCCACCCGGCGCTGGTCGGCCCGCCGGTAGCGGCCGGCCGTGTCCCACTGGTGACCTGCGCCTGCGCCGCAGCCTTCTCGCCGGACGGCCAGTACCTGGTGACCGGCACCGTGGACGGCTTCATCGAGGTCTGGAACTTCACCACGGGCAAGATCCGGAAGGACCTCAAGTACCAGGCGCAGGTGGGACGCGCCGCCATGGCCCCCCTGTGGGGCGACTGAGTTGTTTGCCGCAGCCGAGGTGGGGTGTGATGACGTCAGTAGCCGGAGAGGCAACGTTTTGTGACACCAGTGCATTCGCCGTGAGGCATGGCAGGCAATAGCGTGGTGTGTGCTGGGCTTTCATTCTGTGGGGCGTAAGCGTGCCGCGCTGTTGTAAACGGATGACGTTGTTAAGTGATATTGCCCTCCCAGCGTCTGTGACTGGACGGGCGTGCGGTCCATTCGGTGGCCCGGAGCTGTCCGTTTCCGGCCTGTGACCTTTTTACGGCTTTGGCCTGTGACCGTGACGTGACCTCCGATGTATCAGGCTGACCCTGACTCGCGACTCATGGCTGGTTACCGTGACCCGTAACCCCATCACCTTAACCCTGTCTCGCGACCCCTGGGCGTGACCCTAGTTCACGTCAGTGGCCCCATGTCGCGACCCTGACCCGCGGCCGGCGAGCGTGGCGCGTGTTCCGCCACCGGCACCCGCGACCCCGATGCCTGATACGCCTGATATCATCGCCGCCCGCGGCCGCAGGACAACTTCATGCTGATGGAGGAGGCGTGCCTGTCGCTGGCCTTCAGCCGCGACTCGGAGATGCTGGCCTCTGGCAGCCAGGAGGGCCGCGTCAAGGTCTGGAAGATCGCCACCGGCCAGTGCCTGCGCAAGTTCGAGCGGGCGCACACCAAGGGCGTGACGAGTATGCAGTTCTCGCGTGACAACAGTCAGCTGCTGAGCACGTCCTTCGACAACACGCTTCGGTGGGGGCCGGAACGGTGACGAGCGGCGGGCGCCCTCCTGGTGAACACCCCACCCCCCCCCCCCGCGGGGTCGGGGGCGTTTATCGGGCCGGGCGAAATGTGTTAATGTGTTATGGTCGGCTAGTGGTATGACGTTGGTTGTGTATCACGCTAGTTGGATGCTGAAGGGATTGTTGGGCAGCGTGGAGTTTCCCTTGAAGCGATTTTTTGCGCGTGATGTACGCCGTCGCGGTCTAAATCAGCTCAGTCTCAACAGATCTTCGCTTTTCTGTTGTTGCCGATGCTGCGTGGTACTGCGTCAAGTGTCCAGCACGTACAAATGCTGTATTTTGTCATCCAACCAATTTAATCCAGTTTAACACGCAATAAGGAGAAATCACCGGCCGTGACCGAGCGGTGATTTCGAATTTCGGTCACGTCTACCGGGAATGAAATGAAATGACAATACGACATCCGCTTGTCCAGAAGTGGGAACAGAAACTAAACGCCGGAAATTGTTCACCGTTCGGAGTATTTTTATCGCCTTGTCGCGCTCAAGCTGTGAAATCAATTTGGATAGACAACAAACGTCAGCTGAATACGGAGTTTGCTGCCCAGCATGAAGTGTGCCGAAATCATTCTTATCATACACTTATCAGCGGCACGTATTACCCCGCGCCCGACAAATGTGCCGGAATCATGTGTAAATGGGTTTCAGCACGCGTTTAAAATTATAGCTAGCTCAGTTTACATAGTTTTACACATGTATATGTTGAAAATATCTGACCTTGACGAGTCATAGTCTATGACCTTTTTCGAGGTCATATCGGTGCCATGCCGCTTATAAATGACAAACAGCGTTTGGCTCTATCAGGAAATGCTTTCTTGACTTTTTATATTATTTTGCAAAGCCGTATCACTCCGAAGTTAATTACTGTTCCGTTTTTGTTTAGAGGCTGTGTCATCCGGGATCAAGCATCATGTAAATTTGACTTTCGTCACCCAATTAATGTTTGAAAGTCATACGATGTAAGGCTTTAAAGTCTGAATTTTGCATATACTGTGTAGCCGTTGAAGTTAGGTTGAGGTGCAAAGACGGTTAAGGAAAGGTTGTAAGACGATTTTTCACTTGAGCGGAAAACTGTTTATCTCATTTCGACTGTGGTACGTTGCAGCATTCACGGTCTGAAGTCGGGCAAGACGCTGAAGGAGTTCCGCGGGCATACCTCGTTCGTCAACAGCGCTACATTCAGTGTGGACGGACACTGCGTGATCAGGTCAGCTTGGGGCGCAGGGTCGACGGGTCGCTGTCGTTTACCGACGTATTACGTGCTATTCTACCAGAGCGGATATACGTGCACACGACCGGCGTGCGGGGTTGTTTGGACTGACTGTAGCTCAAGTCGCTGGCCGTCAAATAAGCAGACTTGCATAGTCTACAACTGATCGCGTTATGGTCACAGTCTTCGGTGTATTTGTCCTGACGTTAGGCACGCTGCCCTATGTCATGCAGCCTGCGGTAGGTTATGATGACAGTCCTCAGTGTATTTGTCCTGATGTTATGTATGCTGCCCTGTGTCATGCAGCCTGCGGTAGGTTATGATGACGGTCTTCAGCGTATTTGTCCTGATGGTATGTATGCTGCCCTGTGTCATGCAGCCTGCGGTGGTTATTGATGACGGTCTCGAGTATTTGTCCTGATGTTATGTATGCTGCCCTATTGTCATGCAGCCTGCGGTAGGTTATGATGACGGTCCTTCAGATGTATTTTGTCCTGAACTCGGTTATGTCCACTGCTGCCCTGATGTCATGGCAGCCTGCGGTAGGTTATGATGATGCGGTCCTTCAGCTGTATTTGTACTGATGTTATGCTACTGCTGCCCCCTGTGTCATGCAGGCTGACGGTAGGTATTGATGACGGGCTTCAGCGTATTTGTCGTGATGTTATTGTATGCCTGCCCTGTGTCATGCAGCCTGCGGTAGGTTATGATGACGGTTCTTCAGCGTAATTTGTCCGTGATTGTTACTGTTATGCTGCACCTGTGTCATGCCCGCCCTGCGGCTATGGTTATGATTGACAGGTCCTTCAGCTGTATTGGTCATGATGGTACTGTGTTGCTTGCCCTGGTGTCATGCAGCATGGGTAGGTTATGATGAACCTTCCTCAAGTGTATTTGTTCCTGATGTTAGTATGCCTGCCCTGTGTCATGCAGCCTGCGGTAGGTTTACTGCTGACCAGGTCCTCAGCTGTCTTTGTACGTGACCCTGCTTATTGTATGCTGCCCTGTGTCATTGCAGCCTGCGGTAGGTTATGATGACGGTCTTCAGCGTATTTGTCGTGATGGTTATGTATGTGCCCCTGTGTCATGCAGCCTGCGGTAGGTTATGATGACAGGTCCTTCGGTGTATTTGTCTGAATGTTATGTATGCTGCCCTGTGTCATGCAGCCTGCGGTAGGTTATGATGACGGTATTCAGGGTATTTGTCCTGATGTTATGTATGCTTGCCCCTGTGTCATGCAGCCTGCGGTAGGTTATGATGACAGTCCTCAGTGTATTTGTCCTGATGTTATGTGTGCTGCCCTGTGTCATGCAGCCTGCGGTAGGTTATGATGACGGTCTTCAGTGTATTTGTCCTGATGGTATGTATGCTGCCCTGTGTCGTGCAGCCTGCGGTAGGACTGCACCGGTCTGTCGAGCTCGTCTGCTATCTGGATTCGTCTTCAGTATGCGATGGTTTCCAATTGCGTCGAGCTCCTCACCGCGTGACTGTGGCCGCCGCTGACCGCCGGCCGTCCGCGCCGCCGGCACGTGTTTAGTCCCCCCCCCCCCCCGTATCCAACTTGATCCCCTTCGGATCCCCCGCCGCGTCGAGCGCGCATCTCGACGTGCGCGAGTCGCACGCGCCCGGGTCGGAGTCCGGCCGTGCGTTCCCCCGTCGCGGTCGGCCCCGCCTGCCCGCGACCTCCGACCGCTGACCTCGATGCTGTCCGTCCGCAGCGGGTCTTCGGACGGCACTGTCAAGATCTGGAACGTCAAGACCACCGAGTGCATCAACACGCTGAAGCCGCTGGGCGGCGTCAGCTGCGAGGAGTGCCACGTCAACGCAGTGGCGCTGTTGCCCAAGAACCCCGAGCACTTTGTCGTCTGCAACCGCTCCAGCACCATCGTCATCATGAACATGACCGGACAGGTAGGGCAACGGGGAGAGACGCCGGTCGGTAGGTGAGAGGGGCGGCAGAGACGCCGGTCAGTACGGGATAGGGGCGGCAGAGACACGATCGTGAGGGGAGAAGGGCGACAGAGGCGCGATCTTTGTCACAAGCACGGTGTCGTCGTCTGCAAATTGCTCGGAAGTAAAATCCTTTGCGGTCGGCATTTATGGCGTTTGCAATTATGGTGAGCAAGGCAGCGGAAAACCGAAAATACCTCAGCTGTGTTTGCCTTGTGGTGAACTGGGTCACGCGCTAGTGAAGCGCTCATGCCGCGATGTTTTCATTCAGGCGCATCGTTTTACATTAAAAGTGCGTTTCGAAGAAGACATAAATCGGCTGCGCGCGCTCGACGCCGAGATGTGGTAGCTGTGCTTTGGACGGGTGCAGTCAGCCGCTGAGCACGACTTGTTCCATGTCTCGGCGTGCGTCGACTGTCAAAGTCGGGCACGAGCACTGCAAAGATCAGTGGTTTCGCGCTTGGGCGCGCGTGACCCGCCACAGACGCCAGCCTACATCTTGTAGACGAAAGGTGTGTGTCAGTACAAGCCCGACGTGTTTATGTTGATCTGATTGGGAAGTCTATATATGGTTTGTATCGTGAAACTGCATAAATATCGCTTTTGATCAGCTTGCTAACAAATGCATTGAAGTTTACGGGACAAATTTAAAACGAAATGATGTTCTTGTCGCTGAAAACCGTGTTAAGCTGCTGCCATTAGCTGCAAAGATATTACCTCGTGAGGTGTGTTACGGTTGACTAGCCTGGGCAGCTGAAGTCTTCCCCATATACGCAAGTTTCACCGAGCGCCGGTCTGTCTCGCGACCGCTGCTTCGGAAACATCCTGTTTTGGAGGGGTCCGCCGCCCCCCCCCCCGCCCCGTCAGCAGTGTGGACGGCGTTGTTGCGATGTGTCCTCCCTCTCCCACTTGAAGTGGGCGGCGACTCAGGCGGGTCTGTTCTGGCCTCGGCAGACGGTACGCTCGTTCAGCACGGGCAAGCGTGAGGGCGGCGACCTGGTCTGCTCGGTGGTGTCGCCGCACGGCGACTGGATCTACGCAGTGGGCGAGGATCTGGTGCTATACTGCCTGTCCACCACCTCGGGCAAGCTGGAGAGACGCTCAACGTAAGCGGCCGTGTCGCCTCATGCGCTGCTATGACGCAGGGCCCCAGCAACGTGGATTATAATTTTGCTATTTGCGGGAGGGGTGGGGTGTGCGTTGACGGGTTGGATCCCACTTATTCATCGCAGCCGCTTGCCGTGTCGTTCGGTTGTGGTTTCATATGCGGCGAGTCTGAAAGGCCACCGATGCATCGGGAACGCCTCAGATTGCATTGACCTTGAAGACTAAGCCATTTCCTCGTAGGGCACGGATGCGCCATTGCTTCCATTTGCGTTACCAAAACATCCAGCCGGGCTACTGTGACAGAGCTTCCCGACCGAACACCGCTCGGCGTGCCATCGAGGCAGCCAGCCCTGTCGGCGACCCTCCGACCGAAGCCAGCCCCGTCAGCGACCCTATGGCACGCCTGCAAACCCGTCAGCTGTACCCCCCTCTGGCCGAAGCCAGCCCCGTCAGCGGACCCTCTGGCCGCTGACAAACCCGTCAACGTGACCGCTCCTGCCGCCGCAGGTGCACGAGAAGGACGTCATCAATGTGACGCACCATCCCCACCAGAACCTGATCTGCACCTTTAGCGAGGACGGCCTGCTGCGACTTTGGAAGCCGTGAACGTAGCGCCGGCCGTCCCATTTCATCACCTCTCATCCGACGTGTGGCTGGCACGCGGTGACGTGTGGCTGGCACGCGGTGACGTTTGGCTGGCGCGCGGTGACGTGTGGCTGGCACGCGGTGGCGTGTGGCTGGCGCGCGGTGACGTATGGCTGGCACGCGGTGACGTGTGGCTGGCGCGCGGTGACGTGTGGCTGGCACGCGGTGACGTGTGGCTGGCGCGCGGTGACGTATGGCCGGCGCGCAGCGACGTGTGGCTGGCACGCGGCGACGTGTGGCTGGCACGCGGTGACGTGTGGCTGGCACGCGGTGGCGTGTGACTGGCACGCGGCGACGTGTGGCTGGCACGCGGCGACGTGTGGCTGGCACGCGGCGACGTGTGGCTGGCACGCTGGTGACGTGTGGCTGGCGCGCGGTGACGTATGGCCGGCGCGCAGCAGTGTGGAACCCTGCGTCACGCGTGTGGTGGTCAATACACTCCTCAACAAAGACAATGGGTGCTCATTTACACCAGATGCTTTTAACTGCAGAGCGTGATATGATTTGATTGCCTAGTCGTGACTATAACCATGACCAATCTTAGTGACATTTCCACCCAAGTCACAAAAGTCTTGGCTCTGGCAGCAGTAGAGGGTGGTATATCATCAGGTATTCTTTGCTCTTGTGGTTTTCTGGGTGCGGCGAGTTCATCACCTCAGGTCCGCCGGCAAAGTAGAACCCCGCACGCTGCCATCAGTGGCCCTAGCAGATGATTCGTCACAATTTGATAATTGACTGATATACCAGTGTGATCTGCATGTAAGTGTTTTTTTTTTATAATTTTTAGATAAACATTGGCTTTTCGTTCCAATACGGAAGTGCTAATGTTTTCTTGCAATGCACATTTCTTGCAGCTGGGCGGCAGTTTAATTGCATGGAATATTGTGTGAGTGGTGGGTGTCTCTTCAGATCTCAGGTACCCTAAGCAAAGAAGATTCCCAAGTGACATAACCAGTCAGCAGTATTTTCAGCGGGATGTTGTCATAACCCGCCACAGCAAATGATAGTAATGCATATATTATGGAACACCGTCGAGCAAAATGTGAACATGACGTCGAACTCGCGCGGGACCAGCATGTGCCAGTACACAGCGGCGGGACATTGCACCGTGACAGTATAGCCTCCCATGAACGATGCAAAACACGCCCATCAGCACACGTGACAGTCGCGCGGCTCCGGTGCCAGACGCAGCGAAAGCCTGCAGCAACTCGGGTCATCACCGGCAGCCCCGCGGGCCGTCACCAGCAGCCCCTCGGGTCATCACCGACAGCCCCGCGGGTCATCACCGACAGCCCCGCGGGTCATCACCGGCAGCCCCTCGGGTCATCACCGACAGCCCCGCGGGTCATCACCGGCAGCCCCTCGGGTCATCACCGACAGCCCCGCGGGTCATCACCGACAGCCCCGCGGGTCATCACCGGCAGCCCCGCGGGTCATCACCGGCAGCCCCGCGGGCCGTCACCGACAGCCCCGCGGGTCATCACCGGCAGCCCCGCGGGTCATCACCGGCAGCCCCTCGGGCCGTCACCAGCAGCCCCGCGGGTCATCACCGACAGCCCCGCGGGCCGTCACCAGCAGCCCCGCGGGTCATCACCGACAGCCCCGCGGGTCATCACCGGCAGCCCCTCGGGTCATCACCGGCAGCCCCTCGGGTCATCATCGGCAGCCCCTCGGGCCGTCACCAGCAGCCCCGCGGGTCATCACCGACAGCCCCTCGGGTCATCACCGGCAGCCCCTCGGGCCGTCACCAGCAGCCCCGCGGGTCATCACCGACAGCCCCTCAGGTCATCACCGGCAGCCCCTCGGGTCATCACCGGCAGCCCCTCGGGTCATCACCGGCAGCCCCTCGGGCCGTCACCAGCAGCCCCGCGGGTCATCACCGACAGCACCGCGGGTCATCACCGGCAGCCCCGCGGGCCGTCACCAGCAGCCCCTCGGGTCATCACCGGCAGCCCCGCGGGTCATCACCGGCAGCCCCGCGGGTCATCACCTGTAGCCCCGCGGGTCATCACCGGTAGCCCCGCGGGTCATCACCGGCAGCCCCGCGGGTCATCACCGACAGCCCCGCGGGTCATCACCGGCAGACCCGCGGGTCATCACCGGCAGCCCCGCGGGTCATCACCGACAGCCCCGCGGGTCATCACCGGCAGACCCTCGGGTCATCACCGGCAGCCCCGCGGGTCATCACCTGTAGCCCCGCGGGTCATCATCGGCAGCCCCGCGGGTCATCACCTGTAGCCCCGCGGGTCATCACCGGTAGCCCCGCGGGTCATCACCGGTAGCCCCGCGGGTCATCACCGACAGCCCCGCGGGTCATCACCGGCAGCCCCGCGGGTCATCACCGGCAGCCCGCGGGTCATCACCGGCAGACCCTCG